AGTAGAGTTAGGCAGTGGCTCGGGTCAGAATGAAGAAAAGAACACGATATTTGGGCTGGTGTGCAAGGGACTTTAATATGCACGAGGACCACAGTACGATTATAAAAAGAACTTTGATTTGTACGAGAAGAAGAAAAAAAAATGTAACTTCCAAGTCCGGGAATTGGTGTCATATTGTTTCAAACTGAATAATTTTCAATACCGCAAGAACGAAGATACGTGCCGCGTGATGTTAGCATTACGTTTACTCTCCTCGATTGCTGATGTGAAACAAGCTGGCTTGTGAAGTAGCATATTGCGTTGATCGATCGCGGTGGACGAAATGGTGTACTACATAAACCAATTGGCAAAATATGGAAATCAGAGGTCAACTCCAAGGTAAAATGATGCGATTGCGTCAACATCGTTTGAGCATAGGAAATTCGGCCATATAACGGATTGAGCGAATCCGCCGTCACTTGGTAAGGGGTCAGAATGAAAGATCACAATAGGTTATGTGACAAAATCCCCCAAAATGGGTTGTATCACCTTCAGTGCGGGATATTCTGTCCATTTATCGCAGGGCAAGTTCTTTTTGTGTCTCCAAAGTCAGGAATACGAATCTCGGGGACGAGGATGAGGCTCATTCGGAGCCGATGATATTTGACATGATGGAGACAGTTGTTTAAAGCTTTGCAATTTTTCTGAATTTCGTTTTTCTTTATTTTATGAATAAATATCACACTTTCCGAGTTTGTTATGATTTTTTTGTCCGTTATACATTTAACAATAATAACGTTTTACTTTATTTTATTTGTTAACAATACTAATTTTGACGAAAAGGCCTACGGAGAAATCAAAGGCAGTCTGGGATAGATGGGCGGCGGTAATTGGGCCGGGGGAGGGGGGCCTCGAACTCCCAGATTCTGAGCTGCTGTCGTGGCGGCTGATCTTAACTACTGGGTCAACCCCCCCCCCACTCAAACATCAATATTTCCAGATTATCAACAGCCCGACCTCAAACAAAGTATTTAAAATCCGATAAAAGCTCTATTCGGCACTTTGATAAATCAACTAAGGGTGTGTGTGTGTGGGTTACCACTGAACGAGAGAAACACATATGTTTTTTTGTTGGTGTTGGTGAGTTCTCCGAACAGGAAGTGTTGTTCGCAGACGTTTCGTAGCCAAGCTAGGCAACATCATCAGTGCGAATTCGAGGAAACTCCAATCCCCAGTGGGACATGGTTTATATAGTTCTGTTTGAGGGTTATGATTGACTGTTTGCGTTCCACTGGGGATTGGCGCTTCCTCGAAATCGCACTAATGATATTGCCTACTTTGGCTACGAAACGTCTGTGAACAACACTTCCTGCTCGGAGAACTCACCAACACCAACATCCGCATCCCGAGCTACAATCATTTCACATCATTTGAAACACATGTTTCTTCCCCCACCCCACCCCTAGGCATTCTGCATGCCCCCGAAAGCTCTTCGAGTCGTGTTTTTTGCCACTCGAGCAGTCGCTGCGGCGGGAAACAATGCGACCACAATCTATCTGACCGGTCTGTACGCTCCGCACGTGCGCAGTTTCGCATTTGGTGTGATGTCCACATTCTATCGTGTTGGAGTTCTCACAGCCCCATTCCTCGGTCAGGTATTTCTGCAACGCGTGTCCGCATTGGGTGCCGTGTTGGTATTCTCCAGTTTGGCCGTGCTCGGATTTATTTTCAGCATCCTTTTACCCCACGCGGAGGATCCGAGTCAAATAAAACCCGGTACCGGTCGAAGAATATTTCGGAATATTTTTAAAAAGCGCGCCCCAATGACAACTTCAGCGGCCAGTGCAGCTGCGGCCGGAATGCCGGAATTTCGGGTGGCCACAATCGATGTGGATGACGCTGACACTCAGGGAGGAGTTGGGAACGCTTCGTGGACTGCACAGAACGATACGACTGACGATCTGGGGACTTCGACTCACAAACGTGTCTCATTTGCTGTCCTACCGGATACCAGTGAGTGAAAGTAGACAAACACATGGGAACTTGATCCGAATGAAAAATTTCCTCTGTACATTGGCTCATCAATCGACTAGTCCATATACTCATTACATTCATTCATACGATTCATTCAAATCGATCAATCGTCATAATATCACTGAAATTATTATCCCGCAGCCGGTTGTTCTAGACCCGCGGTATAACAGTTTTCCCGCAGAGTGCAAATTGTTTTTACCCCCTTCACTATTTTGAGTGGTTTCTTACCTGTCCAATACACTTGCCCAACATCAGCATATGTGTTTGTGTTATTCCTGAATTTTCTGGAAAAAAACCCTCTCGACTAGATCAGTCGGATTTTGCAACCGAAACTATTCGCTCCGCCAAGTTTCCAGACAATTTTCCGATGCATTTGATCAGTTTACAGGTCCATATAGGTGGATCCTTTGTAGATTCTGTGTTGGTTTGAAGAAGAACCAAATGTAAAAACTATTGATCACTTGATTTTATCCTACAACTCACGCATTGTTCTATTGTTTCTGATTCGATTTCTGTCTTGAACCTGAGGTCCAACGAAAGTGTGTATCGATCTCTCAAGGGTAGTCAACTGTCTGATTTTGTGCGACAAAATTTGAATACCGATGTTTTTGAATATTGCTAAAGAAGTAACTAACTGAAAACAGATGTAGTGACTTCAATCAGTAGTTCAATGATAAGGAAACGATTGATTAGAGTACAGAAAGGACAAAATGCATTATAATAAGATATCATCAGTCTCTCGGTCATGACCTATAAAGCAAGAAAGAAACAAAGAAAGACAAGAACGAGCAAGCTGTGGCAGTGAACTCTGATCAATACGAGCTAACGACCAATCAGAACTGGCGGTCAGACTACTAGTGCATCATCCGATCAGAAAGCAGCTTGAACCGGTCATTCACGCACTGGGTCGATAGACAGGTCTTCGATGAGTGAGGCGCATTACAATTCACCTTGAGTACCGATTCTGTGTTAATGATAAATCAGCAGATGAGATTAAGCTGTAACAGACAGAAGCTCACAATTTCCATAAAAATACTTGGGAATAAAAACAGAAACACAATCCATCCGAATTTTCAGGTTATTTCCGCCATCAAACTTGACAAAGGTATAATTAAAGTAATATAAGTAATCTTCTCATTCCTTTTTATTCTATTATATAAAAAGTCAAGTCAAGAAGTGGCTTTAATTCTCCCCATAGGGGATGAACATTCAGCTACTACATAATCACTCTTCTTTGGAAATTATATGGTAACAAAACGTATAATGATACATTACATGTACAAAAAGCCAATTTAGCAAAGATTTAGTCCAGAAGTCCCAATGAGAAGATCAGCGTTGGTAAGAAACCTTGCCAAGTATGGTATTATAGAAGACTTGTATGTAGTGGTGCGTGCTGCTATATGTTCATACATGGGACGAGTGCTAGATGTGGAGATACAGTGACTAAGATGAGGGTACAGTGGGTGAGATGGGTCAAGTAGTATTCTGGTAGAAAGTTTCTGGCATGCCCTAAGGTGCTGTGAAATAATAAACTGCACAACATACTCAAGGGATATGCCGCTGTATCGACATACGTGTTTGATGGATGTGCGTATGATTTTGAAGTCTTTGATTAAAAGACCCGGAAAAATAACAGGGGATGCATAAAGCCAGTGGGAAAGGATACAGGATAAAACAAAACGCTTTATTAAGTGAGTTGGGGTAGATAGCATCTTCAAACGAATAATGNGAATAATGTAAAAGGTGAGTTTTCTGACTTTGTGAAATGTCTCGACGACATGAGGAGACCAAGAAAGATTGCGGGAAATGGTGACCCCAAGATATTTGACGGAGCATGCTCTGGAAACTTCTTCACCATTGATAATAACATACTGACAAGAGTTCATCACGTCAATATATTAATCACCCTTCAGTAAAGAAAATAAAACATTATTACACTTGGAAGGATTCATTCTAAGATTGTGTTGTGAAGAACAGTCGGTGAGCAGTGAAATATTCTGCATAAGTTTGGGAACACGGAGGAATTCGAAAACATCATGCCATTTACAACATCATGGGCTTACTTAATGAGAGACAATCATCAAAAGCAGGCATTGAAGAAATATAGGTTGTGAACAAGAAGGGAGAGGGAATAGCGCCTTGAAGAACTCCTTGAGTGGAGGGTAAAAAGG